AAGGATAGGCACTAATTCGTCTCTGAATGTTTGGTAGAATTCATTTGTAAATCCATCAGGTCCTGGGCTTTTGTTTTTGGGGAGGTTTTTGATTACCATTTCAATTTCGCTAATTGTAATTGGTCTGTTTAGGTGTTCTATTTCTTCTTTATCTAGCTTTGGGTGTTTGTAGAGTTGTAGGAATTTGTCCATCTCCTCTAGATTGTTAAACTTGTTTCCATATAACTGTTCATAGTAGTTACTTATTATTCTTTTGATTTCTGCTGTGTCCATTGTGATTTCTCCTCTTTCATTGATGATCCTGTGTATTTGTGCTTTCTCCCTTTTTTCCTTTGTGAGCCTGGCTAGGGGTTTGTCTATTTTATTGATTTTTTCAAAGAACCAGCTCTTGGTTTCATTGATCTTTTGGATTGTTTTTTTAGTTTCTATTTCATTTATTTCTGCTTTGGTTTTTATTATTTCTTTTCTTCTACTGGTTTTGGGGGTTTTTTGTTGTTCTTTTTCTAGATCTTTGAGCTTCGAGATTAGGTTGTTTCTTTGAGTTCTTTCTTGTTTCTTGATGTGAGCTTCTATTGCTATATATTTTCCTCTTATTACTGCTTTTGCTGCATCCCATACATTTAGGATATTGGTGTCCTCCTTGTCGTTCAATTCAAAAAATTTTTTAATTTCTTCTTTCATCTCCTCATTAGTCCAGTGGTCTTCCAGCAGTGTGGTTTTTAATCTCCATGAGGTAGGAAAGTTCCTTACCTTCTTTTTATGGTTTATTTCTAGTTTGATGCCTTCATGGTCAGAAAAGATGGTTGATATGATTTCAATCTTGGTGTATCTGTTGATGTTTGTCTTGTGCCCCAGTATGTGATCGATCCTGGAGAATGATCCGTGTGCGCTTGAGAAAAATGTGTACTCCGTTTTTTTGGGGTTTAGTGTTCTATAGATGTCTGTTAAGCCCAATTGCTCTAAGTCCTTATTTAGAGCTTTGGTTTCTTTACTTATTTTTTGTCTTGTTGATCTATCCATTGTTGATAGTGGTGTGTTGAAGTCTCCCACTACGTATGTGTTTTCTCTGATGTCTGTTTTCAGAGAGGACAACAGTTGTCTGATATATTTTGGTGCTCCTTCGTTTGGTGAGTATATGTTAATGAGTGTTATTTCTTCTTGAAGTATTGTCCCCTTGATCATAATGTAGTGACCATTGGGGTCTCTTTTTATCTTTTTGAGTTTGAAATCTGTTTTATCTGATATAAGTATAGCTGTTCCTGCTTTCTTTTTTGGCCCATTTGCTTGTAGGATTGTTTTCCATCCTTTAACTTTGAGCCTATTTTTATCTTTTGTAGGTAAATGTGTTTCCTGGAGACAGCAAAAGGTTGGGTTTTGTTTCTTAATCCAGGCTGCAACTCTGTGTCTTTTTATTGAAGAGTTTAGTCCATTTACATTTAGAGTTAATATTGATATGTTAACATCTGTATTTGCCATTGTGTTTGTCTTTCCTTTGATTTTATTTATTTATTCTTTTAATAACTTTTTTTTTTTGGCCTTCTTTCATTGTTATTCGTCCCTCTGAGGTTCTGGCTTTAGGACTCCTTGTAGTATTTTTTGGAGTGGGGGTTAGTTGCAATGAAATTCCGGAGTTTCTGTTTGTCTGGGAAAGTCCATATTCTTTCTTCAAAGAGGAAGGAGAGCTTTGCGGGATAGAGTATTCTTGGTTGGCATCTGTTTTCTTGGAGTCTGTTGACTATGTCCCTCCACTCTCTCCTTGCCCGTAATGTTTCTTCGGAGAAGTCTGATGTCAGCCTGATTGGCTTTCCTTTGAATGTTATCTGTTTCTTCCCTCTTGCCAGCTTCATTATTTTTTCCTTGTCCTGGATTCTTGGGAGCTTTACTATTATGTGTCTTGCTGTATTTTTCCTTTCGTCGTGGAAGTTTGGTGTTCTTCTTGCTTCTTGTATATCAATTTTCAGCTCCTCCTTCACATTTGGGAAGTTCTCTTCAATTATCTCTTTGAATATTTTCTCTGTTCCTACTTCTCTCTCCTCTCCTTCTGGTATTCCCATAACTCTTATATTTCCTTTCCTCATGGAGTCAGATAGTTCCCAAGTCTTTCTTCATTCTTTTTCCTTCGTACTTCTCTTTCCTTTTCTGTTTTGGTTCTTTTTATTTCCGTGTCTTCAAGAGTACTTATTCGTTCTTCCATTTCATCAATTCTGCTTTCATTGCTTTTCCCAGAATTCTTTAGTTCTTCCATTAATTCTTTGATCTCCTGCATTTCTTTTACTTCCCTCTTTAGGGACTCAATTTCATTCTTCTGATCGTTGATTATTTTTCCCTTATCATTGTTTTCCTTTATGACTTCTGTCAGTTTTTTTAATCACGGCAATTTTAAATTCTCTTTCTGGAAGGCTCAGAAGTTCTTCCAAGTTACTGTCGTTGCAATCTGGGGGCTGGTTTTCTTTTTGTGGTGTGCTTTTTCTCTGGAGAGTTGCTAGGTTGCGTGTGGTTCTTCTCCTCCCTACTGTCTGTTTTCTAATTTGCCATATGCGTTGGGACACTGTGTTGTTGGGACTGGCCGGCATCTTGGGTGGGCTTCTCTGCTCCCCTCTGGTTCCTTCAGGAGTCATCTGTCAGTTTCAAGCAGTCTTTACTGGAGAAAGGTCCCTGTTCTAAAATGCCGATGTGGGGACACACTCCCCTGTGCGCCTGGTCTGCCCCGGCGGTGGGTTCCTGCTCCCCCTCTGGGCTTGGACTGCAGGCCAGAGGGGGTCTGGCGTGGGCGAACTTCCCCCGCTCACCTCTGGCTCCTGAGGAAGCCTTCTGCAGGTAGTCTTTACTGAAGAAATGTCCCTATTCTATAATGGTGATGTGGGACACACTCCCTGCGCGTCCGGTCTCAGGCACACTCTTCTGCGTGCTTGGTCTGCCCCGGCTGTGGGTGCTCGCTCTCCCTGTGGGCTCAGACTACTTGTTCGGAAGGGGCCCGGCGTGGGCTAACTCCCCAGCTGGCCACTAGCTCCTTCAGGAGCCTGTGCTGGCTTCAAGTCGCTAGGTGGCGCCAGAGATCTCTCCTAGAGCCCTTGGGGAGCTGATTTTCCACCCCGTGGGACAGGGAGCAGAGCGGGGATGGTAGGGTACACCTCAACGGCTTTGGGGTGCTGTGTCTGCCTTGTGCCCCACCGTCGTGGGGAACCCACGCCCCTAATTTCGTGCCCCGGGTCTCAGTTCCAAAGCCCTCAGTTCCAGGACGCGGGCTGTAGCCCAGATGAGTGGCGCGGGAATGGCGCCTTTTGAATCCCGCTCCCCTGCCTGGGTGCCTGGTTCCTGCTCACTCAGGGAGGGCCTCCGCGCGTCTCCCCGCAAGCCTAGGTCGCAGGCGCGGGGACCTGGGCAGCTGCGATCCGATCTGGATCCGCGTTTGCTTTTCAACCGCACTGCTTTTCAGCGTGATCCGCGCCACTTTTCCGCGCAATCCCGATCCGCGCCTGCTTTTCCAGCGCGCAGCTTTCCGCGCAGGCTTACCGGGCGGCCGGGGCTGTGTGCTGGTGCTGGCCTCCTCCTGGGCGGGGTCTCTCTTTAATGGCGCCTGGAGCTCACCTCCGCGGCGGATCCTGCAGGGTTCTCCACAGCTCCCGTTCACGGGGTGTGGTGGCTGCAATAGTTCCTTTCCACTCACAGTCCCGCTTGCTGCGTCCTTTGTTCTTGTTGGCAGTTTTAGTTTGTTGTTTTCCTCCTCTCTGCCGGTCGGAGAGTGCCGCCTCTGTGGGCGGGGGAGGGGAGCAGGGTTCTGCGCTTCCCTCCCTTCTGGTCCTCTTTTATGGCCACTTTCTTCTTCGGGCAGTTTGCTGGCGTCACCCGTTTATCTTCCGTGTCCCAGTTCTCACTGGGACCTGCCGCTTTTCCTCCCTATTAACTTTTTTTAATGGGAGATCTTACTCGCAGCGTCTCCTCACCGCCATGTTGCTCCGCCCCCTCTAGAATCTTTTTTTTTTCTCTTTTTTTCTTTTGTTTTTATATGTTAAATTATGAGTTGAGTAGAGGTAATTATGACATGACTCTTTGTTTTCCATCTTAATATGGAAGCACCATCAATACAATTTCTGTGAGTACATTCTTTGTTTTCAACATTAGCTACATTTGCATCATTTTTTATGCATTTCTCATTGTTAATATATTTCAATTTTTTAACTCTTGGCACTTGATATTTAATTTACCTCTTATTTAAAATTCATTTGGCCAATAGTGTAAACTGAGAATTGGAAAGGATTTTTGTTTCAAATATTAGGTAACTTTTCCACTATAAGTTATTCGTTACATCATTTGGCTGTAATATTCTCTGTGTTATATATAAAGGAATCATAATTTCCAACTGCAAATGAATTACTTAAATTTCGAATTGAAATTTAATTCAGAAATAATTAGCTACATCTACTTTGTAAACTGCTGGTCTACTATTTTATTATTTTATTAATCAAATATCATAATATGAAGAGATGTTGAAAGGAACAGTTTTTCTACATTATACAATTTTTTCAAAATTATGTAGGCATGTACTATCTTTTAAAGATTATAAATAAAGTTTTTTGTATTTTGTTTATTGAGGTAAATTGATTTATTATGAAGGATCACATACACAAATCTGAAACATTTTTTGATTTGTGTTTACATTTTCTCAGTGTTTCTAAAACCAATGTTTATTTCTAGAGTCATGTGACTCATTGATGACAGACCATATGGGTGTGATTATAAATTCATTATATGTAATGAGAATAAGGCTGTTAGAACAAATGGGGGAAAAGAAGACTAAGAATTTTATGATAATCATGATGATAGCTAACAACTTCCTCTTTGTCATTTTAAGGATAAAGACTTAGTACTCGAGCACATTTATAATGAGACTTTTCAACAGCAGTGATTTCCCATCTTTGCTGCTTACTGGTTTCTCTGGCTTGGAAGCTTATCATCTTCAGATTTCTGTCCTCTTCTGTTTCTTATATCTATTTGCCATTATGGGCAATAGCACTGTATCGATGGTAATCTGGATGGAACAATCACTTCATGAACCCATGTACTTCTTTCTTTTCACGCTCACAGTCAGTGACCTGGGACTCTGTGCCACCACTTTACTTACAATACTTAAGCTTTTCTGGTTCAATGCTCGTGAAATTCACTTTGATGCCTGCCTTGCCCAGATGTACTTTATCCATGTCTTCTCCATGATGGAGTCAGGAATCCTAGTGTCCATGGCTTTTGACCGCTATGTTGCCATCTCCAATCCTCTCAGATATACTGCCATTCTGAATAATTCTACCATTCTGAAAATTTTTGTAGGGTTTGCATTAAGGGCCATCATTATTATCATTCCATTTCCTTTCCTCATTAAGCGACTGAAATTTTGTGAGGCCAATGTACTTTCCCATTCCTACTGTCTACACCCAGATATCATTAAGCTTTCTTGCTCTGATCATCGCATTAACAGCTTCTTAGGACTCATTGGCATTGTCCTAACATTTGGATTGGATTCTGTGCTCATCCTGCTTTCTTATGTGAAGATCCTTGCGGCAGTTCTGGGCATTGCCTCCCAGGAAGAAAGAGTCAAGGCCCTTAACACCTGTGTTTCCCACATCTGTGCTGTGCTGCTGGTCTATGTCCCAATGTTGGGAGTGTCCGTCATTCACCGCTTTGGGAAGCACGTCCCACCGTGGTTCATGTCATCATGGCCTATGTCTACTTGTTAGTGCCTCCTGTACTCAACCCAGTTGTCTATTGCATCAAGACCCACGAGATTCGCGTTCGCCTTCTGCGTATTTTCAAGAAAATAAATACAAATCGATGATTATTAAGATTCAGATTTATCTACAATTGATTTCTTAAAGTCATTTCTAATTTACAATAGCAAAGAGATATCCAGATCAAAATAACCTGTTAAATCTGTGCACAAATGACCCAAAAACAAGAAAAAGGAAAAAAGGATAAAAAGGATAAGATCTAACACTATAACTCTGTGCTATAAAATTAGTAATTCAAAAGTCAACATTCAAACAGAACTCCTCCAGTATTAACAGTGTGATTCGAAATAAGACTGCACAACTGATCAAATTTTACTCTAATTTTCTGTTATCAATGGTTAAAATCCATCTTTATTTTCATTAAATTTGAACTTATGTCGTATTTGTGTCTATTTAGATGTGAGATGTTTTCTGAACTTGACTGCAAGATCTCCATAGGAAGAAGAAACTAAATCATTTTCCAGTAAAATTAACATTACTGAATATTAATAATTCATTCAAACTAACATTTGCTCAACTCTAGCTATTGGACACAATAGAAACATATGGATAGAGCAATGTGAATAAAATAGGGAAATCACTAGTTTATTAATGTTTCATTAATTTAGGAAAATATTTTAAAATTTGCAATAGCAAAAGAATCTTGACTTTTCACCTTGACATTAACAGTGAGATTTTAAAATTCTAGTCAAGTGCTGGGAGGAAGAGTTCTATAATTATGATAGCTGGGTCAGCTCAGAACCAACAAATATCTCTGAGTTGGTTTGTGGTCAGGGCCAAATTATGCATGGTTACCAGGGACTAGTAGCTGAAGTCTGAGGTCTTCAAGCAACTTGACAAAGATCTCTTTCCATAATTGGACTATTGCTTTACCTTTTATAGATGACATTAGATTCCTTAGCCTTAAAGGCAGAGAAACATGCTTGCTAGGATATAAAGGTGCTAAGTGCTTACCATGCAGTAGCACATTTTGCTAAGTGCATTGCATTTGTCATCTTGTTTAAATATGGCCACCAAGTAAATATGGTTTATTATGACCAATTTAGAGAAGGGGAAATTAAATCTCAGAAGACTATTAATTCTTGAACATAATGTTATGATTATTATACCTGTTTCTTTATTAAAAAGTTCATTTTTTTTAAAGATTTTTATTTATTTACACCAGAACAGAGGTACAGGCCAGATGCGCGGGAGAATGAGAGGATTCATCAGAGCCAGAGCGGGGAATAGAACTGGCAGACTGACTGAAATACACCGCTGAGGGGAGCAGTGGGTGTGACAGGAAAGGTCTGCCACACCATGTGGGACTCTCGCTGGCCGGTCGGGATCTAACTGGTGCTGCAGAGGCTGTGACAGCTTCACAGTGCTGTGCTCAACTGCCTGCGCCACCAGGGGAGGTCCAAAAAAGGTTCATTCTTTTTTACACAGAAACATGCTGAAAGTAATAATTAAATTTCAGTTACATTGGATTGGTTTAAAACTGCCCAAACCAGACATGTTTTTTTTCCTATATGTCCACTTACAAATAAAATTCTTCTCATATAATTTATTAAAATATTTGGAAAACTAAGGTTCAATTAATATTTAATGAAACTTAACTACATCCATGAAATTATATGGCTCTCTAAGGGGCTAGCAATTGTATGGGGAATATAAAAATAAAATTTATTTTAAAAAAATTAAAAAAAATAAAAGTAACCAAGTATGTAAAAAAATAAATTAATTAAAAAAATTTAAAAAAAGAAATTATATGGCTCTCAATTAGAACATGGTCTTAAGTACCTTAAGACATTTTTTAAAAGAGGTAAAAATACAATGATCAAAGCTTCAAGGGGTTACAAGTTAGAACAGGAATACAAAAAAACAGATAAACATATATGAAAGGAAATAATAAAAATAATTTTAGAAAATAATTAATTAGAAGCTTTATAATGGAGAATTAATAAATAAACCCAAAGGATGGTCTGGATATCATTAGTACAATAGTCATATCAACACATAGCTAATAATGCAAACATTTTGAAACTCTTAAAATGAAAATTCACAAGGGCAGACCTAGGAATGGAAATGCTGGATCACATGGAAGAACTACTTTTAATATTTTTAGCAAAGTCCATACTGTTTTCCATAGGAGCTGGACCAGTCTACACTCCCACCAACAGTGTAAGGAAGTACCTTTATCTCCACATTTATTGTGTCTGTTTATGTGATATGTGCAGTTCTCATAGGAGTGAGGTTGTATCTCACTGCGATTTTGATTTGCATTTCTCTGATGATAAGTGATGTTGAACATGAAATTTCTACATGGGGAGGGAAAATGAGGGTGGGAACTCATCAAGGAGAGGCCCAAGGGTCTCAGGTTAATGATTGTGGGTGCTTTGTGGTGGTCATAGTGTGGTAACCTGCATGTAAGAAGGTGCAAATCTATTCACTCAAATCATAAGAAGGTTATAACCAATGTTATCTCAATTAAAAAAAAACAAAAAATAAAAATAGACAAATGATTTTAATAAATGTTTCTCTATAGAGTATATAGAGAAAGCAAGCACATGAAAAGATGCTTAATAACATTATGTTTTAGGGAAATGCAAGCACAAAGTCATAATTAGAAACACCTCATACTCATTAGGAGGATTATTAAACAAATGGAATATAATAAGGTTAAAGAAGATATGGCAAATTGGAAACTTTGCTCATTGCTTGTTCATTAAGAATGTAAAATAGTGCCTTTTCTGAGGAAAAGAAATGGCTCTCCTTCAAAAATTTAAAAATATAATTAATATATGATCCAGCAATTTTGCTTCTGAGTATATACTCAGTGGAACTGGGAATGGATTGGAGAGATACTCACATCTGTTTTAGTTTTATCCATAGTAGTTAAAATGTGGGCACAAATTTAGTGTCCATCAACTGATAAAGAAAATGTGATGCATATATATGGATACATATAATGGAATTATTTTATATGTACATATATATAATGGAATTATTTCATATGGTTAAATAACCATATGGAATTACTGAATTCTAATAATTACCACAACATATGAATCTATGAAGACATTATGTTAAGTAAAATAATATAGACAGAAGGACAGATATTGTATGATTCAATTTATATGAAGCATCAAGAATAGACAAGTTCATGGAGACAGAAAGTAGAGCACAGGTTATGAGGTGGGTAGGGGAAAGGCAATAGGGACTTTTAAAAATTACTATTAACAAATCCATATTTTACTCAAATGTTCTCTTTCTAGGCCTCCCCTGGTGGCACAGTGGTTGGGCGCTGGGCTGCAAGGCTGCCCGCAGCCTCTGCAGCACCAGTTCAATCTCCGGCCCCAGGTGAGGGTCCCACATGGTGCTCGGACCTCTCCTGCCGTGTCCACTGCTCCCCTCAGCAGTGTACTTCGTCAGTCTGCCTGTTCTGTTCTCCGCTCTGGCTCTGGTGAATTCTCTCACCCTCCCGTGCTTCTGACTGTACCCAGTGCTTGTATAAATAAATAAATAAATCTTAAAAAAAAAAATGTTCTCTTTCTACCCAATGTACTTAGTCTGTTCCAGGATCCAGTCCAGGATACCATATAATTAGTCATAATGTCTTTAGAATCTTCTTGATTATAACAATTTCTCAAAATTTTATTGCTTTTGATTACCTTGTCACTTTGAAATATCTTCATATTTTTTTACAAAACACTCTTCAATTGCTGCATTTCTTTCTTAGAAAGACCATAACAGATTACCACAAACTTGGTAATTAAAACAAAGGAATTAATTTTTTCACAGTTCCAGAAGCTAGAAGTTTGAAGTCAAGGTGTCAGCAGGACCCACGGACTTCTGAAAGGTCTAGGGAAGAATGCTGCCTTCAGTGTCTCCTTAATATGTCTGGTTGTGACCAGAAATCCATGGAACTCCTCAGCGTGTAGACTAATCAATGCAATCTCTGAGGCTGACTTCTTAAGACATTCTCCTTTGTGTGTCTGTGACTTCACATAGTCTTATAAAGACACCAGTCATAGAAATTGGAGCTCATTTTGATCCTGTATGCCACATATTAACCTCTACAAAGACCATATTCCAAAGTAAATTTACATTCACAGTCATCAACAGGTCTCTTGGGGGTGGGGCGAGATACAATTCAACCTATAATAATTAAAATTTGTCTGATATTTTGTTTGATTTTTCCCATTAGTATTTCATAGTTTTCTGCATATAGATTCTGTACATATTTTGTTAAATTCATACTTAAATATTTCATTTTTTGATACTATTGGAAATGTCTTAATATATTTATTTTAATTGTTCATTATTGGTTTATAGGAAGTCAATTAATTTTGCTGAGCTATTTTCCCCAGCTATGGGGAAGTTGAGGCAGAGTCTCAATAGCATTAGAACATTAGTGGTGGAAGATAGCATGTAGAATTTACAGTTAACTATAAGAAAAGAATCACATTGTAGACCTCTAGAGTTCTAGATCAAAGCCATAATACATTTATACTCCATTTATACACCATTAAAGGGCCTCCCAGGCGGCGCAGCGGTTGAGCGCTGGGTTGCGTAGCTGCCCGCGGCTGCGGCGCCGGTTCGATCCCCGGCTGCTCCCCGGCCACCAGAGGAGGGTCCCACATGGCGCGCAGACCTCTCCTGCCGCCTGCTGCTCCCCTCAGCAGTGTATTTCGGTCCTTCTGCCTGCTCTGCTCCCCGCTCTGACTCTGGTGAATTCTCTCACCCTCCCGCGCTTCTGACTGTACCCAGTGCATGTATAAACAAAACAAACAAACAAACTAAATAAATAAAAAACATGCCTCTATTAAAAAAAAAAAAAAAAAAAAAACCTAAAAAAAAAAAACCCTATACACCATTAAAACCAACAAATGCAGGGAGCCTGCAGTGGTACTTGTGATTAGTACTCAATATTGAGTACTAAAGTCTAGTATGTCTTCTCTACCTACACTGACAGACTTTCCTAAGGTGGGAGTGGTCAGGCAAAAGGGAGACTGGGAGGTGGAATAGGGAGGAAAGGGGAACTGAGAGGTGAAGGGTGCAGACT